ACCAAACAGCGCTCCTTCAGCGCGCTGCGATCCACGTTCCACTGATTTTTGAGAAACAACTATATATTTTGGCTTAAATGTTAAGTTATTGGTGGTGTCGTAAAATAAAACAAGTTTCTAAGTTTTGGCTACAACTTGCAAAGAGAGAGAGAGAGAGAGAGAGAGAGTGTCAAATATAAAAAACTTAAACTTAAAACTTTAAAAGTTAAACTAAAAAAGCAGAGAAATGACGAGTGCTCTAGGGGTTTTCTGATTGATTTATGTGGTCTATAAAAAGGGCCTGGGCCTAGTATTTTTTAATATAGCCTGTATTTTCTATTTTCGTTTTTATTCCTACCTCTAATGAGAAGAGCTTCCGTGTGTATTTTTTATTTTTTTTTTATTTCCTTGTAAAAGATACAGATCCATTCTGATTTCCAAACAGTAGCTGGGATACTGTGGCTGTCTCAGCTCCAGGCTGCTGTATGTTTGGGTCCAGTGTTTCTCTCTGTCACGCTTGCCGAGCAGCGCTGTGACACCATTAGCCCCGGTATTTATCCCAGCTTTCAGCCTTTTACCAGGAGAGGGCTTCTGTGGACTGCACACCTTCTGTGGGCTGCACAAGAAACCCTCGATCCTCTCCTTGTCCCCCCACAAACTTCAAAGATTGTGCACTAGGGAACTAGTTCAATAAAAACCACATATACTTATCCCTGAACACATCCTGCCAGAAAGGAGGAGGTTGCACCGTGATCCAGTTGAAAATACAGAACATTTTATAAGCATTTTGATGGAACATGTTTGAAAGCAGACGCTTTGTGCTTGTTAGGCCTTTCGACCAAGCAGAAATTGGACCATCTGAAAATATTTCCTCTTGAGAAAGCTACACAGATTTGTCCACGCCGTGATGGAGTTGTGTTTCCTTATATTTACTGAATGTGCTGAGAAATAAGTCGACATTAATAGAGCCGGGAGCTGTTCCCGGACGCGCTCCATGTGCAGCACGCTTTAAAAATAGCAGATTAATGAAATATCTGGGCAAAATCAAACAAGCATGTGATTGTTTAATTATTGTTGATGAGAGCAGAATTACACGTTGTAGAAGTGCAAATCATTTATGCAAATAAAGCAGCGATGTCCTCATGAATGTCTTTGGAGAGAATAAATCTGACAATCCGAAGCTGTTTGATGAATGACAGGTCACCTCAACGAGAATGCAGCTTACAAATTCAGGTCGACATTTCTAGTGATCATTGTGATTACGAAATGAACCACACCAGTAACAAAAAATAATCCTAATAATTGAAAGTTCATTTAAATTAGAATTTAAAAAATCTAATGAAATTTTTTTATTACAACAAATAGATTTTTTAAATACTAACCATCATAGGACAGCCAACAATGTTATCAGAAAGCAGAAAGCAGATATTTAAAAATCACCTGCAAATTAATAATTATCCTCATCATCAACAACAATAACAATAGCATTATTATTATTATTATTATTATTATTATTATTATTATTATTATTATTATTATTATTATTATTATTGTCAGTATTAACAACAATATTATTATTATTATTAATAATAAGTAGAGTAGTAAACAGTAGGTAGAGAATTGGGCTAAACAGGGTTTTATGTTTGTTTCCTCTTGAAGGATTAATAAACTCTTCAAAAAAAAAAAGGAATGGGAAATAGATCAATGCTCTGCATGAATCAGAGGGATTCAGCTCAACCACTTTTTATTTACTTTAAACAATCATGTAGCAATATTGTAACATTTTCTAACAGGCCTCCCCAGATGTACTGATACATAAAAGGTGAGTAAACTATGACCTCCAGTGGGGGATCATCACAAAGACAAACAATTCTTAAATGGGAAAATAAATAATCAAATCCAAAGACCTAACAAGGTTTTCAGAAAAAACAAAACAAATTAATTTAAAGCTCTTTTCTCACTAGTTTAACACATGACGAATTTATCTCATATAACGTTATCAGCCTGTAAAGGGTGAATTTTAATCCCAAACAAGAGCTATTTAAATGAGGTGGGTTTGCCCTGCACCACATCCCTTTCCCTGTCCAAAAACAATGCCACTGTTTTTCACTTCAGCTCCCTCCCCTTATGGTTTTTCTTTCTTTATTTCTTTCTTTTTTGTATTTAAAAGTTTCTAGATGGGTACAAATACCACATCGCCTCAGGGGAAAATAGCGACCAGATTAGGCTTTCTTTTCAAGACCTTTGGCATTAGTTGCTGCTAATCCGAATTGGGCTAATTGCTTTCCCAACATCAACCTATACCGTTTTTTTTTTACAGACAACCACAGCAATCCAGACTTACCTTACAAAGCAGGAAAATGTATATAGGAAATATATTTTCTAACAGGGCTCTTGTTGATAAAGATGAAGGCCTTACATGACATGTGAGTAAAGGGTTGTGGGGGGAAAAACAACAGAAAACTCCTGAAAGTGGAGACAACGAATTAGCTTCTGGAGCGGATTTACAGCTTAACCAAAGAAATCAATAACCTACTGGAGGTATTGTTTCCAAAGAAAACTACTTGACACACTCATCGGGGAATCTGTCTTCCAGCGAGGGCAGTAGTGGTGTGATTTTTTGACAGCTGCAGTCTGTGTGACAAGTGAGCGGCAATAACATTTGCACTACAAAGGTAGGCCCACAAGAAATTAGTCTTTTAAATGGAGTCTGTTTCGGAGATGTTTTTTAACTGTTGATATCACATTTTAATAGTTTATTGGACGAGATGTTACGTTTTTACCAGCATGTTGTTACACAATTGAGTTCGTCTTATAGCCTATGTTAATGTCAGAAAGTTAAAAACACAATTCTGCGGCTGGGGTTTGTTTGATGCTCCAACAGTGAGTATGCACTCACTATGGCTGACCAACATAAGGACGCACAGTTTAGTAAACACTGCAGGAGTTCAGATTCGTATTTGGCCCCTCCCTCTATTATACTTTTTTTATACTGTCAGGGAGGAAATCACACACTAACCTCTAGAAAACAGAGCCATTAAAAGGTAATTCTGAGTACTTTTGTTTTAAAGTTGAACGCCACCTTCCAGTGTGTCCACTTTTACAGTAAATCATAACCAACACGAGGTTCCCCCATAACACAAACTCCTACTCTATCGGGTGGTGTGACCAGGGGGAGGAGAGGGGGGTGTTTGTGGTCTAATGCATGTCTAATAGGGGGGTCCTTGACGCGAAAATGTTTGGGAACCCCCCCCCCCCCAGCTGATATAAGCTGTGGTCATTCACCGTAGGCCTATAGGCTGAGCCACCAGTCTAAGTGAGTAGAAACAATGCAAGAAGAAGAAACAGATGAATGTGCTCGTTTAGTTTACGGGTTGTTTGATGAAGGAGCATTGGCCAAAGTGTTGTTCCTCACCGCGGGACCCTCGGTGACAGTTTGAGCCGGTCCTCTCAGCTCATTATCTCGCCGGCCCACTGAGGGCCCCATTCAGGCTGGGCAGTCCCTCTCCTTCTCCCTCTCCTCTTCTTTCCTCTCTCACCCTCTCTCTCTCTCTGGCAGCGTCGTTTGTCTACTCATTGAACCCACAGTCAGGAATGCGATGGTTGTTAGGGAGCCCTCTTTCACCTCCGAAGTGTTTTTATTGATGAGCTCTGACTTCTCCTACTTTTTCACATGTCAAAGAAAGTCAAGTGTAGGCCTCCATGACTTCATTTCACGGCCTCCCCTCCAAAAAAAAAAAAGAAAAAACAGAAGTAATTTCTTTCCCCTCCCCCTGCTTATGCCTGTCCCCCTCCTCTCTCTCTCTCTCTCTCTCTCTCTCTCTCTCTCTGTGTGTGTCTTTGCCCTTTCCTGCACCCCCTTTTCTGCTTTAGTTTGGCTTCCACATCCATACAACCCTCATTCTCTTCCCCTCGGTTCTCCTCCTTTTGCAGTAAGCGACGGGGCTCCTCAGTGCTGAGACTGGTGCTGCCCAAAGCTCCGAGTGTATACTCAAACACGGGCGCAGAGGGGTTGCTTTTGGGTGCGTTGAGGTGTGCGTTAATGGCCAGTCATTCAACCAGTGCAGTTTGGGGAGCGTGTGGCCATGGCTACACAGTCATTTGCTTTACTTTATTTACGCGTGCTATTTGCTGTCAGGTCGCAGGAGTGACGTCGCCGCGCCTCGCAAATGTGTCCATAAAAAGCACCGGAGCTTGCCTAAAGGCTGCGCTCTTTACGCATGGTGTTCTTGTTGACAGGAGGGGTAAGGCTATTCAGGAGAAGGTGACACCAAAAAGAATCAACAAAAGCACGTGGTGACTTTTTTTTTTTGGTGAGGGATGGTCTGCAAAATATTAAAGTAAAGTAGAGTAAATTCTCTCCCAATTGGAGCTTAAAAAAAAACAACTTTTCCCAACTCGCTGTTCTTTTCATGCAGCACAAGAGGTCTCCATAGATTCCTAAATATTTATTATACTTTTCTTTTTCTCCATAGAGCTAATTCATGCGTGAAGCTGATTTAAGTCTGTGTGCTTATAATTCATAGAGATCAAAACTGGTGTAAGTTATTTTGTGTTTTGTTCACATTAAAAAGTCTTTCAGTGATGGTCCTACATTTGAAACGTGGATGCAGTACCGCAACCCCCCCCCCCCCCCCAACAATCAATAAATAAAACTGCACAACAGCATAATTATATGCACCTCTATAACATTAATCGCGTGTGTAGAGCAGCGACTACTTCATAAAAGGCACGCTGCAGCTCTTTGTAATTTTAATTTGTGAGTGTTATGAGTTCCAACATTCACGTGCGCGCTGCTGCTCCACTGCGAGCTTCCGTCCCCCTTGCAGCACTAGTTAGCCTCAGGTTGGAGCTGAACATGCCTGAGATTCCCTGCGCGGACCCAATTCAGCCTGGAAGAATAGAGCTTTCCGTCCAATGGGCATTTCCGAGGCAGTTGCTTTGCAATAGGGCAATATTCAGCAAGTGAGCGCAGGGTATTTGCATGCGTGGGCTGATTAGTGGGTTGGGAAGACGAGACTCTCTCTCTTCCTCCTTTTCTCTCTCTCTCGCTCTCTCTGTCTGTGGCTCGGCCCCGTTTCCCGCTTTGGCTGTGGTGTAGGGGGAAGTGTTTATATGGGGGATGATGACAGAGGTCGGGTCGCGCTAATGGGCCAGTGAAGAGCTGCGGAGGGAGGCGAGGCGCACACAGCAGACCAGGAACACATACATTAATACACTTGTTCCATCACCAATCAGCATAGGTGTGTTCATTCTCTTACCCCCACCTCCTTCTACCACCACCGCCACTCTCCCTCCCTCCCCTCTCTCGCTCTCTTTTCTCTTCCCCACTCTCTCTCTTTCCGACTCTCTCATTCGCTCTCTCACACGCCAGCGCACATCCTCGCCAAACTCCGTGCGTCCTGACATCTGAGTTCACTGTCAATCTCTGTCCACTTCGCAGGGATATCCCCTCCGTCTCCGCCGAAGACCACTGGAAACTAATTTTTCCTCTTCTAAACTTACGAGAGAGACTGATCCTGGTCGGCTTTTTTTTCTCTTTTTGTGGTGTGGAGAACTAGGCTGAAGCCTATAGTTTTCCCAGGACTTTGACAACGACGCAGGATGCCCCAAAAAGGTGAGATCCTGACTAAAAGTTTATGGTTGGTGTTAAATTCTGGAATTATTATTATTATTATCATTATAATAATAATTATTATTATCATTATTATAATTATCATTATCATCATTATTAAATTGTTCTTATTAGATATTATTTTATTGTAGGTCGTTACTTTTAGGCTATAGATGGAGGTTTAGTGGTGAGGTTGTGGGTGTTTTATCGTCTGGACTGTGCAGCCTGTCTTCTGACTGGACACTCAAAAGTGCGAACAGCCTTTAGAGTCTGTCGGTTTTATCTGCTCGATTTTGTTGGTGTGTTTCGGCCTACGGATAGCTTACCGCTTATTTATGACAGTAAAAGAGTAAAAAGTCACGTTGGGCCAGGACAGTGATCATCGTGGAGAATGGGGCGCAATGACCCGTTGAGGAAAGGTGTCAGATTGATTCATGCAGGCGAGTCACCCAAGCGCCTTCTAAAAAAAAAAACCCTCCGTGAAGCACTTGGGGAGGAGAGGCCCGTTTTTAGTGTGTTTGTGTGTCAGAGGAAATACAACTTTATCCTTTTCTTTCTAAGCTGTTTCTGTCTACCCTTAATGACAGCGAGTTAAACTAGGCTACTTTTACATTCTACATTTTACAGCCGTTAGGCTGTGTAGTATTTTGAAATAGTCAGATACTTATCTTAACAGGCCTATAGCCTAATATAATATACACATAATTTTAATAATTTAAATAATACACAAAATATGGATCCAAATTGCTGCTGCTGTTAAACTATTTTGCCAAAACAATTAGACTATGCTAATTAATAAAATAATAACACATGCATTAAATTAATGCTTAATTCTGACATTTCTCTTTTGTAATTCTAACGGTAAATTCAGCATAAATAAGGCAATACATTGAAAATACAAATCCACTGAAAAAGACTGTCAGTAAAAACACACCAGGCCTTTGGCTTAAAATGTTAACACCCACTAAAAGGTTGATCCTTTGAGATGTGATTAAACCTGTTAGCTACATGCTAACAACTAATTCGCTAAATGAATTCTGCAATAGGCTATGCAACACGTTTTATAATTATCGGCTATATATTTATATTTATATTCCGTAAACCTGCAACTTACATCGGGATCCATTGTAGTCAAGGCCTACATGGACCACTTGTGCATATGAATGTTGTGAGCAAGCCAAAATAAGCATGCTGAATTAAGACATTGTTGTTACGGATTACTAATGGAAAAGAAATGCAGATTAGATCGCAGTTAACCTCAGGAATCACAACGTTTGAGCTTTCGACCTTAAATAAATGATTAACCACTTGGACCTTATGAGGCTAAAAGCTACCGACTGCATTGAATTTCACAGGCTGGCCAAACTTAATAGACTGTTTTTTTAATATATATATTTTTCCACATTAGCTTTAACATCATGACATTAAGCCAGTGATAATAATAATAATGTCTGCATTATGTAGTGGTTGTTTTGGTAATTTTAGGTTATGCTAAACAGGCTAACTCGGGCTATGTGGGCCAATGTGATGGAATCTGAATTTAATTAATGCAGCCTATTTGTTAAACATGAAAGAAAGCAGCAGCCTAAAAAGCAATGGCGGCCCTACAGCCTACGTGAGTCTCACAAACTAGTCTTGGACTAAACACGGACGTTATTAGGCCATTTTGCTCTGCACACAACACAACTTTGCACGGAGGAAGAAAACGAAAACTTCAGACTTCTCCCTCCCTTGGCCCCCTTTTTATATGTCCCCCAGTCAATAGCTTCTTTAATGCATTTGTCTTTTCCAATTGAGCGCCCTACTGCGCTGTTGTGTCATTCAACCCGCTTTACAACCCGCACCAGCAGCACAAAATAACCCCCAAATATTTATAACAAGAAATTACTTTTTACATTTTTTTTCTCTCTCTCTATAAAAACAAGACAAACAAAACCCCACATTCACGCACTAGCTGCACCGGGGTCACGGTCGTGTGTGTATGTGTGTGTGTGAGAAAGAGAGTGTGTGTGAATGGTCCCGGAGGGGGTGGATGCATGCCTCCGGCTCTTTGTATTAATCTGAACTTGTTGGTGTGTTTAGTGGGGACGCTGTGTGTTTCTAGTCGCGGAGTTTCGCCCCGGGTTTGAGGTATAGGGAGGCAGAAGAGGGGGTGCATTGTTGGGAGTCCAGCAGGCTTTGTGCACCAGCTTTGTACCCCCTCCTGGTCTGGACTTTTGCAGAGCAGTGAGGCGAGGTAGACAACGTGTGTCACTGTACAGTTTCCAGGATAGACTCCACAAGAGGAGGGATATCAAGTTTTCAAAAAAAACAAAACAAAACAGAAGCCTCTTGCTGAGATGGCAAGGGCTGATTGCTTTGTATGAACTAAATAACACCAGCACCAGAAGCCTTGAAAGAAATAGAGCTGTAAAAGAGTTAAAGGCCCCAAATCACGGCTAGGATGTTAATTTAAATTTTATTTTCCGGGAACAGGCCCAACAGAGATGTTCAAATAATCTCGTCCCGCGTCAATTTTGATGTATTTGCTTGACGATTTGCAACGTTGAGGTTAATTGTAAATGTAGGGCACAAATGAAGATACAGTAGGTGTGAGTGCATCAGTATAGCTGTGGCTGTGCTAATGTGTTGTTTTGCTTTGTCCTATAGGGAGACATTAAGTAGTGAAAACGGCAGATGATTGACTAAATTGTTATAGAGTGGACAGTCAACTCTGTTTCCAGGCAAGTTTAATTAAAATACATACATACACTGAGGATGTGAAATTCATTATGCATCAGTAATATTTAAGCACAAGATGCGCAAAAAAAATTTCAAATCGAACGATGGGATGAGAAACCTTTATTTTATTAATAAATAAATAAATAAATAAATAAATGTTGCAAATAATTTGACATGTGTGCACAAGGTTAATGGTGTGATGATAACCAGCTTTGTTTTTCCTCCTTGTGACGCTTAGAATACCACAACCAAGCCACGTGGGAGTCTGGCGTAGCCTCAATGATGCAGAACAGTAAGTTGTTTTTATGTATATTTAGTTTTAAAAACTTTGTGATTGAAAACACAAGTTCTTCTGTCGTTGCATGGAAGCAACACCCACTGACATTATGCACTGGTTGTTATAGCCCGATAACTTTAAGAAGAAGCCTTTAAAGGAGAGAGGGGAAAAATGTATGTGCAGGCATAAATAACTTTGCATGCCTTTGAGGTACAGGGGAAACATATTCTCAGTTATTTGATGGCCGTTTCATTGCTGTTAATTTTTTTTTTTTTTTTTTTTTGCAATAATAGGTAGGCAAGTTATTATTGAACAAGTTAATCACACGTCGTCCTGCTCCAGAGAGAGAAGGAGGGAGAGGGAGAGGGAGAATAGAGGGGGTTGGGTCGAGAGGGAGATTTTTGTTTCTGCTTGAGTTGGTATTAAATAATTGCACAGCCGTCTGCATTAGCGTTAGAGCTGGCTGCCAGGCTGCATACGAGATTAGCTGCGTAGAGAAGAGCCCTGCATGAAACATGAGGAATAGCAATAATGTCTTATGTAGATTAGTCCATATTCTTCACGGACAGGCAGCATGAACTAGAAAGAAACTGCTCATATTATAACCGCAAGGCCTCACTGTTAGCTGTTAGGTGCAGGCTGAACTCACAGCGGAAGATAAATATTAACAACCATATTGTCGTGGGTGCCAATCAAAAACATGGTAGATTAAGTTGCTTATAGGCCTGTGTGTGTGTGTGTGTGTGTGTGTGTTTTAAAGAGGCCCATGAGTTGAATATCTTGTCTTGTTCCTGGTGTGTTGAAATCAAAAAGGATAAACATGAAACATTCTCTCTCTTGCTGCTGGACAAGAGGTGTATGACATCTGTGATGAAGGTGTGTGGAATAATTTTATTATATTATTCTCCATATACCTCGATGACGTGTTCTGTGCTGTAATATGTGCGAATTATAGTCCAAAAGTGTTTGAATCCAAATGTTGGCCGACGTGACTGTTGGGGTGGTTTGATGTGAGGCGTGATTCATGAGGAAAACAGGCGGAAAGTGACGAAAATGAAAAACAACAACAAAAAAATACTTCTACAAACTGGTGGCATTAGAGACTTATTTTATAGGCCACGGCGCTGTGACTTGTCGCTTGCCAGTTGTCTATTATAGAGATGATAGGGCCTTATCAAAGCGCTGTACAATACCCAGTGCTCTGCTTTGCTGCGGATTGATGATAATGGGATGCTCCCATGGCTTGGCGTGTGATGTCTGGTGCGAATTGCCGAGGAGATATCATTGGGCCCGGCCCTTTGGGTTGTCTAAAGGTCGCGACGGCCTCGGTGGCTTTTGTGCTAATAACTCCTGGGTGTATATGGTGGGGAGCGTCCAAATTGACACCATATGTTTTCCTATTAGTCGACTTGCAATAGAATACAAGGCGCATAATCAGCGCCAGCGGGCGAGATCGACTCCGGGCACTTGAGGGAATTGTGCCATGATTAAGACTTAACCTTAGGAGAGTTTGATTTTTATGTGATGTCCTTATCTGACGGTTTTATCGATCCGGAGGATTTATATGATAGTTATAAATCCGAGGTGATGGAGCAGGCGCGAGCAGGGCTGCTTAATGCGGGTAGGCCAATTTAAGCGTAAGAAGTCTATTAATTCCACTTAATCCTGGTATTACTAAAGAGCAGGAGGGATGATAATGGGTTTACTATCAATCAGATCCACGCTGGAAGATTATTACGCATAGCTCAGTTAAACTCAGTTAGGCCTACTCAGTTAAGCAGGTTTATTTTCACCCAACAGGCCCTTTTGGTCATTTATATAAAATACGTTTAAAGCAGTTTACACCAGAGTCCTATGACATATTTCAGAGTAAAGACGCCTACCGATTGCACACAACAGGACTGCAGTGGCTGTGAGCATTTGTTGTCAAATACAAACAAGGGGGGGAAAAAACTGCATGTCACTTTTAATATGTTAAGAATCCAGGCGCGCCCTCGTTTGTGTGGCCGCGGGTAGCCCCCGGCCACCTTAAAACGAAGTCTCCCTCGGAGGGTAAACGAGTAGCGTCCAATTTTGTCTGAGTGATATCCAAATGCAGACAGAAAGGGTCGTTTTATCATGCTACTATTTGTCGTGACGATGCGATTTTCAAAAGCAGAGCGGTGTCATAAAGTGACATGCCTGCCACAAGTGCTCCAACTGATCTTTTCAATTAGCCTCCCATGCATGATCCGAGGCGACTTCCGCCTATTTCCAGAAATTAAGCTCAAACTTGACGTGCAGCTAGCTTTATTTTAAAGACAAATGTCAGGCAGGCTCATCATATTTTCCCCCTCTTCTATATTTGGAGCTTATTTATTGCTAAGGAGCCTCTGCTCCCGGAGTCAATGTACTGGGCGGCAGCGCAGGGGAAGGGAGCGGAGAAACAGAGAGCAGCTCAGGCACTCCGGGGAGTCAGCTCTCCCATTTGGCTTCAGGTTTGCGGGCTTATTCTGTGCTTTAGAGAGATGCAATAGAACAATTTGGGGATAATTTCCAAAACAATTATTATTTTTTAGACAATAACCAATCATGAAAATTGCTATTTTAGAGCTGGTAACCTATGTAGTGTGGTCTTTTTGATGCGTAATTGTGTGTTTTGAAGGACTACCGGCGATGTAACGACACTTTCCAAAATGTGATGCTTTTGAATGAAAGCTAATTTAACACATTATTTCAGGTATAGTGTTTGATGCGATTGTCGGCGCTGCTGGTTTTTACTTTGAGGATAGTTTCTAAGTGAGGTGCTTGGTCTTGGTGATGCGCAGCTGTACAGGAGGGGATGGATAACGGTGCGAATGTTTTAATACCGAAGTTTGTCGGTTTGATAAAAGGTTGGTTGAGTTTCCTCGGGGCAAAAGACCGACTGATGTGTTAATTTATTATTAGAACATAACATATGGAGATGTTTTGGTTAAGTTTATGTGAGGCTATTGTCTTTTAATCAGTGTTCATGCATGCTTTCTGAATAACTGCGCAGTGTTTATCTTCAGAGGGGAATGCGCTGAGCGGTACAATTTCATAAAACTATTGTTTTATCAGTGTACTTGGATTTTAAAACACTTGTTATAAGCTTATGGCAGTTCATTTAAATTGTTTGAAGTCAACTGCAATGAACCTTCTTGTACTTCTGTCTTCGTGTTTCATCTTTAACTCGGTTATCCTGAACGCTTCTGCCATTCTCCTCTCCACTAAATGAAAATCATGTGCTTTATCACATTATGTTTTAATTGCAGTTATAAAACGATGTGATGACTCCGATGCTTTTGTCTCCATGTAGGTCACAGTGGCGTAAACCAGCTTGGTGGTGTGTTTGTTAATGGTAGACCGCTGCCGGATTCCACCAGGCAGAAAATAGTTGAACTTGCTCACAGTGGCGCTCGACCCTGCGACATCTCCAGGATACTGCAGGTGACAATCACACTCCTTTATCATCCCTAAAACACGTTTAAACAGACTTTTTCAATTGGATGCAAACTACTTTTTAAAAATAAAATTATTAGACATAACGGTATGATTTTCACGTTAAATCCATGTTGCAATTGTATGATTGTTGAAGCCAGTAAAATTGTTGTTTACTAGTTACACAAATCCTTTTATGGACATGTAGCTAATAAGATCGACAAAAAGGAAAGTAATCTGCCTACTCTTATAAAGAATAAATATATTGTTAAAAAAAATGCCCAATATACCATTCAAGGCATATTTTTTGTGTTTATAGACCCATGATGAAGTCCAAGTGCTGGACAGTGAAAAGGTGATAATTATTTGACGCCATCTTAGAAATTCCGTTAATAGTCGTAAATAATGTATGTGAATTGTGTCTTTTGTTTTCTATACAGGTATCCAACGGCTGTGTGAGCAAGATCCTGGGTAGATATTATGAAACTGGCTCCATAAGACCGAGAGCAATAGGCGGCAGCAAGCCCAGGGTCGCCACTCCAGAGGTGGTCGCGAAAATCGCGCAGTACAAGCGGGAGTGCCCGTCTATCTTTGCGTGGGAGATCCGTGACAGACTTCTGTCGGAGGGGATCTGCACCAACGACAATATACCCAGTGTAAGTGTACTGACTCTAAGTTATGTGCATGATTTAATTTGCCACATGAAATGATTTTTTTCTCATGCAGTGAAAGAAAAGGAGATGGGCAACCAACCATTCAGTCTTATTAAATACACTGCGTTTGTGTGTGTGTGTGTGTGTGTGTGTGTGTGTGTGTGTGGTGGAGGGGGTGGGGGCAGGGGGTGGGGGCACGCATTAGGCTACAGCATATGTGATCACCCAAACATACAGTCAATTAGAAGGAGCGCGCTGTCCATTTGTGCGCTTTGCAGGAACTTCTTCCTGTGCAGATTTATTATGATTATAAAGTGTGTGTGTGCTGGGAACCCGCTGCGCACCCACATCTTTGTGCCCGCATTAAGAAGACACAGTGATCCGCCGGGCGCTCCATCTGATCCTTACTTTTATCATATGTAATTTGTCATTCAGGTGTCATCGATAAACAGAGTCCTCCGCAACCTGGCTAGTGAAAAGCAACAGATGGGCGCAGATGGCATGTATGACAAGCTGAGAATGCTCAACGGTCAGACAGGAACTTGGGGGACCCGGCCCGGCTGGTACCCCGGAACATCAGTGCCAGGGCAGCCCAACCAAGGTGAGCCTCATTATCATACAGTGGCAATAAAGACACCTTGACGCTTGCATGGCTGTTAAGGTTGTATCAGAGAAGGGCACAGCCAGGCGGTCTATAGGCCTAGTTTTGGGTTTTCAGGCTCGGTAACATTTATGGCCAGTCACAAAAATGATTTGCCCTGCATCAGGAGGTGCGGCAGGATTTGTGAACTCCACAGAGGTCACCATATACCGCCATGTGTGAATATGAATAGTTTTACAGCATACTATTCCAGTGGTTCCGGTCCACGGCCCTGTTTACAGGAAGGTATTGTATTGGCATGTTTTGATGCCCTGGACAAGATCCCCAATTAAGACTAGTCGATTAGAGGAAGCCATAGGCCATGCATGCAGTCTGAATGCCTCCACTGTCCCAGACATGGATGTGCGTGACAGCGGCTTGTCCTTTCAGCAGAGGTGTCCATCCAACAGCCTTCATTTTCCTTCCCTCCTGATGGGTGAGGCAGAGCCGGGGTGCTGTGTGCGGGGATATTAGTACAAAGGAATGTTTTCCCTCACACGCAATGATTGGTTATGGGAACGGTCCAGACTACGTGTAATTGCTCATTAGAGAGGGCTTTGTCTCTCATTGTGGCAACATGCAGGAGTGTGGAGATGGCAAGGCTGATGTGGAAATATTCCACTTCAGAAGGTTTTCCTGACGGCCTACTGCAGGCCCAAAACTGAGCAGACTTTCCTATAAGAAACACCAGCTTGCCTCCTAAATATTCATTCATTGAACCAGTATCGCGACGAAGTATTGTTTCCGATTTATATGCATGAGAAAAGGGGAAATGTGCTGGAATTCAGTCATAGCGAATAATAATTTGCATTTGTTTGATGACCATCTGGACACGTGGGGCTGTTGCCGACACGCAGTAAAGCGGAAACGATCATGTTAACAGCTAAAATGAGTCACTCAAAGTTGGAATTATAATTACTTATGTTATTGTTATTATTAATATATTATTATACATAAATTACTATTATTATTATTATTATTATAGCCTACTTCTTATTTAGTTTCTGTAGTTGCCGTTGGTACAATATGTCACACACATTAGATTAATTATTATTTACTCTTAATAAAAACTAATATTTAAGCATTATTATTTTTACATTTGATTAGATATATATTAATTGTTGTAACACCAGAAACAACAATACCAAGCATGACACTAACAACAATAGCAGCTACAATAATGAATTCTTTGTTGTGTTTTTAATTCAAGTATTTAAGTAAAGCAGTTGTCTCAGGGGAACGAAAATATGTTCTCCATCCGACAGGCGAGTAAGCAGATATAATGGCTACATGGAGAGTGACAGGGCCCCAAAAGAAGACAACTCTATCCAAAGAGGAACGGATAAAACTCCTCACCGATTTGGTCTTTTATCTCTTTCTCCTTCTCACTCGCTGGCTATATGGCTCTAAATCCCGTCTATAGGATTTAGTCTCTCACTTTCTCTTTCAGTTCTAAGCGGTTTCTCAAGAGTGTTTTGATCCGGTCTCAGCAGCTGAAAGGTGCCGCAATTGGTTCGGTATCTCTCTCTTTTTCTTGCTGCTTTTCCGCCTCACTGGTTGAGACATCATGATACTAAAGAATGAGTTTATTTCCCAGCGCTTTTATAAAGAAAACAAATCCCATCCCAGCGTCAGTGGGTCTGGCAGACGGATAATAGCTGCACATTCACTCCTTTTTATGGATTATCCAGAGTGAAGAAACAAATAGGGTGGCTACAAACTATCGGCCTATAGAAGAATACTTTATACTATTTTGCAGCAAGGGGAATTGTCAAGAAACATGTCGCATCAGGTTTCCTCCAGTGAACCAAGACTTTCACATTTAGACAAACTAACTGTGTTTTCGGGCCTGCAGAAAGGCATGCTTAGTTCCCTTGCAGAGGAACTGTGAGCGAACTTGCTTGGCTTCACACGGAAACGCATAAAACATCTGACTGCTACATATTTTTCTCACAAGACAGCTTAACTTTGACAAAATGAAGTTTGCATTATTTTTTGGTGTGTGTGTGCAATGGAGCCAACATGGTCCTAGAGGGCACAGGAGCCTGGCTGCCTAAAGGCTGCTCTGCACTTGCTCCATCCTAGAGCAAGGCACTAGGCTACTCACTAAAACTATAAAGGCATAAACAAAATCTGCATACAAAAAGCTGAAATGCCCCCTTTATGAGTTCAACCCACACAGACACCAGTGAGATATTACATAAACCGCGCACCCCTGCTTAATTTCGCATTAACTTCTCGGTGTGATAATGATGTCCAGCAACAAGACAGACATTAGTCGATAAGCCTCGCCCTGCAACTGAAGGGGCAGTGAATAGATTGGCCTTATTTTGGTTGTTCAGGGGGTTGCATGCTCTCTCCTCACTCATTTGTTTCCAATTGAAGACAGAAATCCTGACTGGCGTGTAGCTGGCCGGGGGACGTGATTAATGATGGTAGTGGATAAGGGTTAACACACTGGACTCAAAGCTCTGTTGACTGGGATCCTCGTGCGCACAATGCCAAAGCACTATAGCCTGCGCGCCTCCACAGAGAGAGGATCCTTTTGTCATCTCCCTCCAATAGCCCCCTCCCATATATTACACCCACCGAGGGCTCACTGCTCGTCCCTGGCTGTGTCCATAGTTTAATGGTTTCCCTTACTCCTGAATGCATTGTATCATTCTGAAAAGCGTCTTCTCCTATTCAAAAGTTGGTGGTCACCTCAATGGCTATACCAACGCCCATATGGGAGCGACCATTGAGGCATTGCACTGCCCTAAAAAAGGTGGGGGGCAAAGAGTTTGGGGTTTTAATACATTTCATAGGCTCTGAAAAGAGGCTCGCCACATCTTGTCACATTTCTCTTAACCTTTTGAGAACACACACCATTGTTGGGAAGCGATAAGTACAGGAGGCCTTTCCCTCACCAGCATGTTTTTCCCACAATATTTTATAAACACTTTAACCGGGAAGCCCTCTTCATATTGTTCCTCTTCACACAGGCAGCAATCCGGCAACATTAAGAAGAACTTGCAATCATTCCCCTGATTTTGAATCAAATCAGCCATGATAGGGGCTTTTAATTAATGACATTACACCGCCGTCTGCACAATTAGCTGCAGGTTGATACAACGCGAGACCCGAGAGAATTAATTATTCATTTAGCTTAATTGAAATTTATATTTCCATTCAATGTTTTTTTTTCTGCAGATGGTTGTCAACAGCAGGACGGTGCAGGAGAAAACACAAACTCCATCAGCTCGAACGGGGAGGATTCAGAGGAGACACAGATGCGTCTGCAGCTCAAGAGGAAACTACAGAGAAATCGCACGTCCTTCACACAGGAGCAAATTGAAGCTCTGGAAAAAGGTCGAGCAATCATTTATACATATAAATCCGCCATATTGGATTTCTTTCTTTTACAAAATGTTATTGTTATTAGTAATAAATACTCCTGATTATCTTAGGTGAATTCAAACAGAAAATAATGGTTTATTATAACAAACGAATAACAGGCCTCACATCTGTCAGACATGGCACATAGCTCTCTCACATGTTTAACTTGTTTTTGGCCTTTGACAAGCATTTATTCAACTAATAGACCTGGAAAAAAATGAATTGACCCTTGACCTAATTTATTACTTAGCCTATTTTCTGACACTTGTGCGACTTCTTGCATTACAGAATTTGAAAGAACTCACTATCCAGATGTTTTCGCGCGAGAGAGACTAGCAGCGAAAATCGACCTGCCCGAAGCAAGAATACAAGTGAGTGATCAGAACTTCTTACACCAGATTGGTTATTTTTATTTTTTTTATTTGCCAGAGGGGGGTGGGGTGCCTGGAATAAAACTAATAAGAAGCTTCCATTGCAGGTATGGTTCTCAAATAGAAGAGCAAAGTGGAGGCGAGAGGAGAAGCTGCGGAACCAGCGCCGGCAGGCCAACAACTCCTCCAGTCACATCCCCATCAGCAGCAGCTTTAGCACCAGCGTCTACCAGGCCATCCCACAGCCCACTACACCGGGTAGGTCCACCACAGCTGGGATAATACTTACAGGATACCCCATCCCTTAAAATAATAGCCTATTAAATTAAAACAGAATTCGTCAACTATTGTGTTGAAGAAATGCTGCGCAACCATTAATTGGTTAGGCTACACTAGTCATAAAAGTTATAACTGTAGTAATGTCAGTAACAACACATTTAACTGTCCATGGGTTCAAGTCAGATAGGATCCACGTGAAATGTTACTAAATGTTATTATGTGACAGCCTGCGGATTAATATGAAAGGGGGAAAGAGGCTTCGGTGGCTGTGCGCTCTAGTTCACATGTAGAAGCACCGGTGGTTTTCCTTTTGATGGATGATTGAGCAAAACTTCTCAGCTGACTATCTGCGTAATTACCGAATCAGGCAGGAGGGCACACCGGCAGAGCTGAAGCTCATGCTCACAAGTCAATCACCTGAGACACACACGGTACAGTATCTGTCCGGGCCTATCAGCCTGTCAGATAAAGGCGTCACCTCACGCACGCACTACTTAACGCTAATGAGATGCTCTCTCACACTGGAGGACTGTGTGGGATTCTGCGGGGTTTTAACCACATTTTCATTTTTTTTCTCTCCTCATTCACAGTGTCTTTCACCTCGGGGTCAATGCTGGGTAGACCTGACTCTGCACTTACAAACACCTACAGTGCGCTGCCCCCCATGCCCAGCTTCACCATGGCAAACAATCTACCTATGCAAGTAAGTATAATGCCATAACGCTCAGAACAGCAGGCAGTATAAGATTTAAAGATACACCTTTTTATGTAATATTTTATGATTATTGATATGATTGTAAAAGTGGAATCAAACACACCATGGGTAATTTAAATTGTGTTTCCTGGCCAAAAAAAACACAACCTTCCTTAAAAATCGTATTTTTTATTTAAAGGGCAGCTTTCTCAGAGAATTAGAACTAAAATGATAAACACAAATAAATCGAGACACGTGCCTGTGAGAGCTTACAGTATTACAGAGTACAGCTATGGTTGGCTAAGCTAATGTAACATTCTCTCCCCATCTATAGCCCAGCCAGACCTCCTCTTATTCCTGCATGCTGCCTACCAGTCCGCCTGTGAATGGGCGGAGCTACGACACATACACGCCCCCTCATATGCAGGCACATATGAACAGCCAATCAATGACCACTTCTGGTACCACCTCAACAGGTAGGCAGAAAGTTCATTGTTTACCAACCTCCTTGGGAATTAATCATAACAAACAGTGCACTCCTCTAAATATCTGCCACCTTTCCTGTAATTTGGGGGTACTACATAGCCATCTTTGACTCATGACCTGTTGCTGCAAATTGTCCTTTTCCATGAAACATCATGGTTTAAACATCTGTGGATCAACGCCTCTACATTCCATATCATTTTCTTTCCGCAGTTGCATGAACAAAGCTCATTTCATCGCTGCTCTCGCCATCATGTCAATCCCACTACTCCAGCCCCATAGTTTAGTTCCACCCCATTAGGATGCTGTTACTGAGAGCCATATATACCGGTTATAGTCACGAAGAGTTAATCATGCATAACCACATTTCCTCTGTGCTAAATTGCTAATTAATTTGATTCATTTGCTGTTGTACTCTCTCTGTTTAAATGCCATTGCCAAAGCCTCAATTTATCGAGCTTGCAAGCCTTTTACTGTGCAACCATGTGCAGAGCATTGTGACTCACTGCAGCTCTACTGCTCGTCTACCTATTTGCAGGCATTTAAAGCACAATGCTCTGTGCTATAAGGCTAACCACTGTTAGCTGTCACACTAACTGTGCATGGTGCATTCACTCATCTAATCTAGTATGTTGACTTCTGGGGCTTTTTTCCCCTTTTATTTTTATTTTTTTACTGACGTCTGTTCTCTTCTTGTCTCTGCAGGACTCATCTCTCCTGGAGTTTCTGTCCCTGTCCAAGTCCCAGGGAGCGAGCCTGACATGTCTCAGTACTGGTCAAGACTACAGTAGAGAGAAGAGCTACTTCACCCTGTAACCACCCACTCCACCATCGCCCTCCGGCAGTGCTCCTCACATATACACGGCACAGGAGATTAGAGAAGGCGAGAGGGGGTTGAGAAGAGGCAAAGGACAGGAGAGGAGAGGACGAAAGAAAGAAAGACTCTGGGAGAGCCTTGGGACGTCTGGGCTTTGTTTTTCCACTGGGACTGTATGCTGTTCTGTAGCTCTAGGCACATTCAAACGAGGACTTGGAAGACAGAACGATGATAGAAAGACCGGGGGGAAAAAATGGACCTCTGTAAAGTGACCGGTGTTAAATTTTTATGGAACAAAAACTTATCTGTTTTTTTTTCTATTTCCAACTTCAGTCATTGTTTCCTTTTTTTCTCTGGTGTGTTAGTAAATGGCCATTTGTATGTTAATATGAAAAACCAAGATCAAGTACTGATAGATGGACTGCTAGAAAACCATGTTGGTCTTGTGTTTGTTTGCGAGAGGAGAACCGGAGATTCTGCCATGACTATCTTTTAAATCTGCTTATATCGAGACTTTCTACCAGCCTTTGCATGGTCTCTGGACGGTGTTGCATATCATTAAAGACGAAAAAGCTGGAGGGAAGACTCTTACTGTGTCAAAAAAACAGCAACTATTTATTGGTTTCATTTCCTACGAATGGATATTTAGCAGAGGCAACTCAAACTCGATCCACCCACTGAGGCTGTGGTCTTGACTCCTCTGACAAGGGCCTGCGTTTGCTGGCTTCCTAAACACGGATCACTATCAACAGCTCAAAGTGTGCAAAGACCGTGCGACATGAAACACAACTTGGACCTCTCGCTTCGGTGGTTGGATTGACTCTAGATTACCACGAAGAACATTAAATGTGGAAAACAGGTGTAAAACAAAACCTGTAGTCTGTAAATGGTAGACTGCGTCTTTGATATAATCCAGTTTGTTTATGTCAAAATGTAAAGTACTTGTCTTCCCTAGAAATCTTCCAGAAAGATTTCTCCAATAAAGTTGATTTCATTTATATCCCCGAGAATATTCTATAAATGTTCCATGCATCATGAAATACATTTCTTTAGGGTCAGGTACAATTTGTCTCTTAGGTATAGTTGTATTATAGTGTCCTATGGTCAAAAAAAATTTGTGCAACTAGAAATATTTAATTACTATAATTATGATTAAACATTGCTTGACAGAGTTTTAAACTTAAGTGTTTGGCAGTTGTTTACAAGTACATATCAGATTTAATCATTGTTGATTGTAAAACAGACCAAAGCCTTTGTATTTCATCTAGTACACAGTGTTTTTTTAAGATATTAGTCTTGTGTTGCAAAATTTTGTAAACACGTTCTGTTCGATTACATTGGCTTCGAGTTCGTTAGACTGCAGTCGAACCCCGCAGTCCTTATTTATAATTGAAGACCATGGGAGGGTTTTTCTAGCATCATCTGTCATGCTCTTTTGAGTTTTGCATTTTTATTTCAGTGTGTACGTAGAACATGGACACACACTGGGTTTACGTCTGAGCAATGCTTCTGAGATAAAAAAAAAAAAACGTCTACACGCTGTCTCTTAAATATTTCAATTTAATTTTATTTAAAATGGAGCTTTCTAAATGTATTTTGTGAAAACTATAAAACATTTTGTACAGTAAAAATTGTGTCTTAAAGAAAGCCTTTTTGCCTGTTCAATGCTGTGTCTTATACAATGTCAATCTTTACTGAGCAAGTAGAGGCACTGCCAAAACTGTTGACATGATGCATCGTAGCTGCAAATTTAAACAGATCTAACGCTGACAAATGCCAGTAAAAGGGCTTGTAATACACACACAACACCTCCAATTCCCACCAAACAAAGGTGTCCACAATAACAAACCTCTCGATGTATGGGCTGAACCAAGCCGACACAGACCACACAGCACACCGCCACCACACAATGAGAAAGGTCAAGCAATTCACCATCACTGGCTCTTGTTGTAGCAGAGTTACGATGGTATGAAGAAAAGAAAAAAAAACAGAACCAATGAGGACGAGGGAACAGAGAAGAGAGGCAGAAAAAAAAAGTCATGGAATAAAGCAGTCAGTGCCTAGAGCGAGGCAAAGGAGCGATTGTGTGGCAGAGTGAGTTATTTTGCTTCACTTGCTGCCTCAGCGGGGGTGGGGGGGATGTGTGTCTGTGTGTGGATATGAGGGTGTGTGTGTGTGTGTGTGTGTTAGAAAGAGAGAGCATCTAAAAGGAAAGCATGTCATGGAGAGAGTGAGGTCAGGTAACATTCACACAGCATGTAGCAGCACCAAATATCTTGCTAAAGTTGATTAACTGAATTTACACATCTCACTCAATATTTAATAGTCCAATCAGAACTTTGAGGATTGGAGGTTAATCAGATTTTTAAGAGGATTTTTTTTCTGAGGCTAATGCAGTTTCTCTATTCATTTAATCCAGTTTATCACACAGACGGAGGAATCCGGCTTTGAGAGCACAGGGAAGGGGGGGAGAGGGAACAGGTTAGGCCACTCCGCTGAGATGAAGAGGAACATTAATAATTACAGAGAGTGGAATGAAAAAGAGATTCAAAATGCAAGAAAGACTGCAATTAGTGGAAGTCTAAATAATACACAGCTTCAGGGTAAAAAGGTTTAAATGTAATTATTGCACAGAACAAAGTCGGGCATTACAAGTTTCTGTACTGTTCTGTTCCTGAGAACTTTGTTGTCTTGGATCTGTTTTTTTTAAATGAGACAACAATTCTGACCTGGAAATCTGAATCTCCACAGCAGCAAACAGAAGTTGACATGCTCCTATTTAGTGTTTGCAGTTAAATTCTGTGCTGTGTGTGTGTGTGTGTGTGTGTGTGCTTTAAGCAAACATGAAGTAACATTTCCCTCATCTTTGTGAATACAATAACAGACTATTACTAGCTTTGTGTATTTGACAGGTATGGTAATCCTATTATCTAATCTGTAACACAGCATGTCTGAACAACGGTCTGCTTTATTAAACCAAATTTGCAGAGCGAGATTTCCAATGAGGTAAGAATGTATTGTCCTACATTGTGTTACTTGATGCTGCCATGTGATGGCCATTCAATAACAGCACCCATTAAGACCTCAGATAAAGCTACTGTAGGAAGACAACTATGGCTTTGGATGGGAATCAATAGGACATGAGTGGCATCTGCCAAGACACGATTATTAAAGCGTATTCTCTACGCTCGGTCCCATGGTTTTCTTTGTTGCTACAGGCTAAAAGATGCTTTCAAGAAGTAGGTCTTTTGAAATGTGCCAACAGCACAGTTGTTGTGAGTGTTCATCTTACGTGTTACTGTTGCAGATTTCTTTAAGATATTTTTTTTATGTATTACAAGTCTTGTACTGAATTCTTTAATGATATATTATAAAAACTCATAACACAGTAACGTTATAAACCATTATTACATTTTGAGCAATAAGAAGGAAGCTCACCGAAAAAAATTCAAAACACAACAAGTACGTCTTAAGTAAGGTCTTAAGTACAGTGTAATGTTCCTGGGAGAGGAGAGGGAGTTAAGAGCATCTGAAAAGCCACGTGTGTTCATTTATTTTAAAAATCTCACTGAACAGGGGAGAATACCGCGTCCTCGACCTGATTGTGAAGTTCCAGTTACTGTGTTGCTGTGTTCAGAGGCTTAAATTGATTGATATTTTCTGGTACCTTGAATTACTTATTCATACTCATTACATCAGAATGTGTGGCTAATCATGACTCACATCATTGTCTAACCATGTGCAACTAACTTCATCTGAGGGCATAACACTGACATCTCCACTGTCAATCATATTTATATATATATATATATATATATAGGATGTGCATAAACATGACCCTTGGTCGAATGAGAGTACGCTGACTAGTATCACTTCACTGAATTCAAACCTCTCCATAAAAAAGTCAGAACCCTCATTCTTTATAATGTGCATAGAAAAAGCTGACATTATAAAACTTTTTTAGTTGTTTTAAAACTTGGTTTTAAAATGATCCACTTCCTGAACTGACTGAACAAAAGGTGATCTAGCACCACGGTGACAGAGACACACATACACACATACCAGTAGTACAGCAACATAAACAAATGCCAAATTTAATGTATTCTATTAAATCTACCTTAAAGGTGTACCCTGAATACGTCAGCTCTTCAACAAGTTTTTATCTTGACAACACAAGCTTTCATTCACCTGTACATGTGACCTGTGTATGTCATCTCTCTCTCTCTCTCATACACCCCATGTAAGAGCACACCATTCATGCATGAAACTGTCAGGTAACACTACCCTCTCCCAATACGTGTTGCAGACGGTTACCAATACTGCCAGTTTCCACAGGCAAAAATATTTAAAGTGGCATCAGCAGCAGACTGAGGAAAACAAAAATGAAACATTTAATTTTTCATGTTGATTTTTCTGTTTCTCCATGTCACCATTTGACCTAATTTGTTCTTTTGGGCTTGTCATGGCAAAGCAGCTCATCCAGCAAACATGCCCGATGAGGTGTGAAGCCTGCACCCAAAATCCAGCTCTCCCACCCTCTGCCTACATTCCTGCTCAGCTCTCCAGCTTACTGGAGGTGGACGTCACTCACCGGCACAGTCTCAGGGTCAGATGGAGGCATCCCTATTCGAACCTGAAACCAGTGAGGCAGACCAGAGATCAGTCACTCATAACACGCTTATCTTACATCCCTTTTGCAGTCTCACAGGTAGTCAACTTTCCCTTCAGGGCTGGTGTTGAGTGAAGCAGTAACGTAAAAATTTTGCATTCTTTGCATTTATTATATTTTATTTAACCAAACAAAAGCACATCTCTTTGCATTATCCTCAAAAATAAAACAATATTGTACATGGTGGAGCTAGGCAGGAGTTACCACTTGTTTTGTGAAGTAGGCCTGGAGCTTGGGAGACTGTAGTTAAACTGAGGGTCAATATTTCATGATTGCACTTCACTTGTAATCAAAATCCTCAGAGGCAGAGGAACACACAAAAAAACAAACAAAATGTACCAAATCTTAAATAATTCCTCCATCTTTTAATTGGGTCAAGTGCTAGTCACCCTGCCAATCATATACCTTCATTTAACGTTTCCAAATAACATAGGGCTCACATTTTTTTTAAACTTACAGTGAAAAAAACCTCTGGGTATAAAAACATGGCCAATAACAATAAGTTAAACGAACTTCCCGTGACAGCTTGGAATGTGCAAATATCAGCTGTCAAGAGTTAGAAATAACGCACAGAGTTTACTGTAGCTTTATATAAAAAAGACTTATAGGATGAAAAGTGTCCGTTATGAGACGAGGTACTGTGGATGTTTAGATCTTCACCCCTGGCTGGGACAGTTGGCAGGTGGTAATGGCTGGCAGGGTTATAGCAGTTGACATTATGTGGGCGAGGGAACAACCTAGTCACCACGGTAAAGAGGACATCGCCGCGGCGTTCCAGGTATTGATTGCCCGTGGCGACTGTGTGGGAGCTCTAGAAGTCCAGGTGTTTGTTGCCGGAAGTGCCGGAGCCACAGGCTGAAGCCAGCGTGGCTGCTCCTGCCAGCTCCCCCCTGCTCACACGACTCACCGTCTCAGACAAGTCTGGAGGCAAATGCAGTCTCTGCAGAAATCAGAGGGGGGAGGAGGGTGGGGGTGGGGGGGTGGGGGGTGGTATAAGATCAGTTCTTATGGACAAAAAAGAAAGCACAACGGTGGATCAACATACAGTAGATGGTACACTTCAATGATGTTTATTCACAGAGATCCATGTTGGGTTTAAATTGTATTAGATGCTTCAGCACTCCCCTTCGCACTCGGAGCGTGGAATAAACCTGTTAGAGTGCTGCTAAATGCTTGAGAGAGCTTTAGGTTTGTTACAGCTCACAGGGAATATGTGTGTGTGTGTGTGTGTGTGTGTGTGTGTGTGTGTCAGGTAGGGGAATTTTGAGAAGTTTGAACAGGATGCATTCATAAGGTAAGTGTACTAATGTTTTTGATTTACTGTGTTTGTAACACAGATGATTACGGTCAGCTTATACCAGAGTCATTAGAATCAGCCTTTTAGCCGTTTCATAGTAAAGCTTATCTACGGAGCAGCCCTGTGCCAACTCAAAGCACAAAGACTCTAAGAGGTTAATGAGGTCCACTCATGTAAAGCCCCCAAACACCAACACACTAACCATTATGAAGCTTAAGAGGGGCTACACTGCTCTGCTCTCTCTTCACAAGCTGCAAGAAGGGCCGACCATGGCACTCCACGTACAAAGTCTTGAAGAGGTGCTGAGAGCATGAGAGGAGGTGAAGTATCTCCAGAGTCAAGTGTGCACCTGACAATGGTGTTGAGTGGCAAGTTGATCGAGGAAGTTGAATCAGAATACAGGCATCCCAGGTACAAGAGAAGTTAAACCCTGTAATTTGCCCCTGAAAGAATCTGCCATGACATCTGAAACCCACTGGTCAAAGCTTGCGCTCCCACCCCACCCCGGCCCTCTAAACCTTCCCTGCCTGCCACATCCTTACCCCCTCCAGACATGCAGCTTTAGGAGAGCCCTTCCACTCCCACAGATACTTATCTTTTTCTTAATGACTAGGTGTTCGGGTACAGGGTTTAACAGCGTCATTACTAAGAGATAATTCAGGACTAGGCAACACTCTTCACCCCTCTAGGGTAGAATACTTCCTCCCTTTGCTTAATACTGTTTTCTTAGTCT